AGAGCTTGCGATTTGAGTGAACTCATGAACTGGCTTAAACTCGATCGATTCCAGTTAATCATAATGATTGAAATTAACTTCCAACGAACTCACTGATCAAAATGACTGCCGCATCATTCCTTATTGATTGCTGTTCACCACTAAGGAATTCCAGGAATCTGCGAGTTCAGCGAAATAGTCTCAAGTGAAAATTGAATGCAAACTCACTTCCGTACACATAGTCATGGGGAACGCAAACCGCACAACTGACACGACAATGGCACGACATATAGGTCGCATTTGAAGAGCACTGTCCTTGAAGTTTCCATATCGGACAACAGAAATGCTCATTATAACATCCTGGCGATGCACATCCTTTTTTAATAACTGGCGCTTTTGGTTGTCTCTTTGGAGAGCCTAAAATCATTGCAGTGCAATCTTTTTCGGCTGTAGTCCTAACAGAACAATAATAAAACAATGAGACTGTTCAGGAGGGAAGATAAAATGTCCTGACATAATAAATACATAGACTGCGCGTCCTATCTTTAGCTTTATATAGAGTTAAGGGACCGAATGTGGGAAATTGAGCTCACGATGTGATTACATATTACCGTACATGATAGGGAATAAGAAAATGTGTATTAAATCGAATTTCTCGATCTTCTTCAAGGTTTTCTCATCGATTTCATTCTTTCAGTGAATCATTCAACGAATTCTCAATCTTCCCAAATGAAGCTGAAAGAATTTCTCATTCTTTCACAGTTTGGTGGCTGTATTTGATCTCAATCTTTTTGTACGGTGTTTGGTCACTAAACAGTGGGCGAGAGAGTTGCGACTGCAGCAGACAGCATAACATGGTCATGGATGACGAAGCGTTACCATTTATGATATGCACTGCTTACTGAATCAGTCATAAATCTGCTGATTAATGGAATTGCAAATACTTAGTGCAGTATCTTTCCTATACAGTTGCAATTTCTGGAAATTGGATATGATTTCTCCAGGGATAGGAGAATAACAACGAAGAATAGAGGTATTTCGCGGATCCGTAGGTGGTTATGACTACCAAAATAGAATCTGGAACGAACGATTTCTCTTGCTGCAAGCTTCTTCTCGACTTATATTGCACCTATCACAACTTTTACGACAATTTTCTCGCATCCAAAGAGGATTCTTTTTGCATTCACCACGTTTTGTCCACTGTTTGCATTTGAGGTGGAAATCGGCGCACTCTGGAACTTAGATAAAAGTCACATCATTAACACTGAATTATTGCGAGGAAGTGCCATACATCAATGACTTTGGTTCACACGATACTTTGGAGCATGTTTGCATAGTTGTAGGATGTAACACAATTTTATATATGGCACAGTATTTGTGCCATATATAAAATTCATTTACGTTTCGCAAATTCTGGGTGATGGAATGATTACTTGAGATAAATTCAAAATCTGGATGAGTTTTGTAAAAAATTGCGCTACGAATAAGAAATCTATTTAGCGGTTTCATCACGTAATCTTCAACTGAAACGAAATGCACATCAATTAAAATACCGGCATTAATGTTGAATGTTGGTTTACAAATTTTGCACGATGCCTTACACCATACACTCATATAGCGATGGTTTCGTTTACATTCTCCTCGTGCTGCCCATATTGAACAACATTCGTGCTCGTTGAAGCAGTGTTCCGGTTTTGTACCGATACGATCAGCTACTACTATTGATTTCGGCACAATACGATCAACTGTTACCAGGAATGTTGGTGCCGAGAATTTGAGCTGAATCAGTTGGGAAATACTGACAGTTTACGAGATATTGAGTACCGGAAATTATGCATCAATTTTTTAAACACAAAACATGAATATTCTGAAGCATGAAGCAGTTCATCGCTATAGAGTTCACAGAATATTGCCCAAAATAGCAGGAACTACTTTGTTTAGCAGGAAGTTTCGATATGAGATGAAGTGGTACTTACTGAGTCTGCAACACAAATTCCTTGAACGCATCTACCACGATAGCATACCGGCTCACCTCTATGAAAACCAGCACACTTTCCACCCGGTTTTACTTTCGATACACAACGTGCTGGTATGCGTGAATGGTCACAGAAGAGGTACCTTTAAAAATGACGGTAAATAATTTCAAACACAACCATGATAGCCCTATAGTTGTCGTTTCTGCCTTTCGATATTAGATATTCTACTTACTGGAAACCCTTACATGCCAAATGGCCTATGCTGATACTTTATGATGTTCATGTTGTAGCCATCGTTTCTGGCACCATCGATTCGGAACAGAATATCATTGGAATGCTTACGGGAAGCCAATCTATTCCATACCTGGTTCATGAGAATTTTTCCCTTAAGGATCTCGTGCGGTTGCAAATGGAATATATAAAGCTGCAAAAATTAGATCAGTTCTGAGCAATCCGACAACCAAATTGCTTGTATTTCAAACTCACTTCGAACCACACGATGGACCGTCAGAACACGATGGCCTCGGTGCATATTCGTACAAATAGTCCGTATAGCTGGTACCAAGACCATCGATATTTCTCAGCGGTTCAAACGGTCTCATGAACGCTGAACTGAAGTGTGATTCACCGCTGCACAATCTCAGATCGCGTGGATACAGATTCTCTCGTTCAGGTCTTGACTGCAATGGAATGTCAATTGTTATTCCAAATGAGAGAAGTATACATACGTATACGTGCAGTGATGAGCAATAGTGCGTTATTCCCCATCAGTATGCATGTGTATGGAAAAAATTTCATCTAATTTCTTTAAATTTCCCAATATCATATTAGAATTTACTCGAGANTACCTGCCTGTTTTTGTTGTCGCCATTCCTCCCACAAGGAATCGATGAAAGCGTGATGCAAATAGAATAACGGGTCGTTTGCTGCATTCGCTATGTCGAACATATCTCCGCCAACGAATATTTGAACCGCACCTTGAGCATACTCCAACGAGTTATAATCTGTCTCCAAATGACAACCCTGCAAGATTATTCACTTCACTGCAATCTGAATCAATCAGCGAGATAATATAAAATGTCATTCCCGGATTCCAATCATAAATTTGGATTTAAATTAATTTTGCAATTTGACTCTGAAACTGTAATCAATCACTTGGTTAAAACCAACATGTTGCGGGGCAGTATAGGTAAGGATCTCATCAACTTTTGCTCTGGACATGACATGTTCAATATCGTCCTTTGTTAGAAGACTGCCTTCAAATCCAACTTCACGTCTCAACATTCGTCGACCCTTAAAGCAGCTATCAGATTCAATCCATGAAGTACACCATCTCTTTTATTTAGTTGTATA